TCAATATATATCCCCATCCACAAAAAAGGAGACACAAAAGACTTAAGGAACTGTAGGATCATAACACTAATCTCACCCACAAGCAAAAGTATGCTCAAAATTCTGCAACTAAGGGGTGGAACAGACTGCTCCTTTGTTCTGGCTTCAAGGCAGCGTCAGAGCATAGCATTTATATGCTTCATGCTCTGACACTGCCCTGAAGCTGGCATTGTGCCACCCACCTGCCCACACAGGGGGCAGCTTTGCAGCATTCTGGCGGCATGGCGTTTAGGCACTGCACACCACAGAAGTACCACAAAGCTGTGGCAGTGATGGAAAAGTGGGCTTTTTGCCAGCTCAAAAAGCAGTGGCAATTTGCAACTTCTTTTTGTGCCAGCAAAAAGCCAGGTTGGGGCTGCAGTGTGCGGTTGTCACAGCCCCAACCTAGTATTCAAAGGGGCAGCCGCCTCTTTGGGACGGTCTGTTCCACCCCATAGACTCCAACCATACATGGAGAGAGAAATCCCAGAGGTCCAAGCGGGAGTCAGAAAAGAAAGAGGCACTAGGGACCACATTGCAAACATACGATGGCTAATGGAGCACACGAGAGAATTCCAAAAGAAAAGCATGTGCTTATAGACTATGGCAAAGCCTTAAAAGACATGGGAGTGCCAACCATCTGATAGTCCTGATGAGGAATCTGTACTCAGGACAAGAGGCAACTGTCAGAACAGAACATGAAAAAACAGAATGATTCCTAATTGGCAAAGGGGTCAGACAGGGCTGCATTTTATCACCCTACCTGTTCAACTTATATGCAGAACAAATTGTAAGAATACAGGATTGGACATAGAAGAAGGAGGAGTGAAAATAGGGAGGAATATCAACCATCTAAGACATGCAGATGACACCACAATACTAGCAAAAAAACCCTCCCCGACCTGAAACAGCTACTAAGGAAGATCAAGGAAGAAAGTGCAAAAGCAGGATTACTGTTGAACACAAAGAAAACAAAAATAATGACCACAGAGTATCTACACATATTCAACCTAGACAATGAAGCAATAGAAATAGTAAAAGGATTCTCATACCTGGGATCAAATACAGATAGAAAAGGGGACTGCAGCCAGGAAATCGAAAGAAGATTCAGAATGAGGAGGGTGGTTATGAAAGAACTGGAAAAGATCCTAAAATGCAAAGATATACAACTGTATACAAAAGTGAGGATCATACAAGCCATTGTATTCGCTATTACCATGTATGGATGTGAGAGCTGGACAGTGAAGAAAGTAGATAGGAAGAAAAGCAATACATTTGAGATGTGGTGCTGGAGAAGAGAGCTGAGGAACCTGTGGATGGGTCCTAGAGCAGATCATGCCAGACATCTCCCTGGAAACCAAGATGACAAAACTTAGGTTGTCGTACTTCAGACATATCATAAGAAGGCATGACTCACTGGAAAAAACAATAATGCTAGGAAAGGCAGACGGAAATAGAAAGAGAGGAAGGACTAGACAGATGGACTCTATTAAGGAGGTCACAGGTATGAATGTACAGGAACTAAGCAGAGTAGTGGAAGACAGGGGGTCTTGGAGATGTTTCATCCACAAGGTTGCCATGGGTTGAGATTGACTTGAGGGCAGTTAACAACAACAGCAAAAGGAGTATAGTATCAGAAGCCTTTCCTTTATAACTACTTCATAAAAGAAATTTGTCTTCAAACTATAATTGACTTCTGTTGACTAAGAACATGTGGGATGACCCCCAGAAGGGAAGTATAACATATTTGGTCAGTGGAGTCACATTGATTTCCCAGTGACTCACTCTGGTTGGGGAAATTTAATATTCCTTTGTGACCAAGGCTGGCCTTATGGTTAGGCACAGTAAAGCAGATACTTGAGGCAGGAGATACTAAGGAGCATAGAGAGGCAATGAAGGGTTGCCAGATAGAGCTGGGTATATCAAGATGACTGCCCAGTGCCTCCATCATAAGCCAGTCTGGTGTCCTCAGATATAGGAGAATGTCAGTATCATTGCCAACATTGGAGTAAATTTCAGCTCTGAGTCAAGTAGGGCTACCATCTTGTCCTTTAGCTCAAACAGCAAAAGTACTTGAGCCAGCTCTGCTTGCACCCCAATAAGTGATGCTTTTAATGGCCTGTCAGTGATAGTGGATGACTTCCATGTCAGTGAAGTGTTTAATCTGCTCTGGGCTTTAGTCCAAACTTTAAAAGAACAATCTGAGGTACTTGATTTAGTACCTTAGATAAACTCTCTTCAATTGACTGGTTGTCACTGCCTCCTGCACTGTGTGAGACCAGATCCTGAAGAAAATTGCTGTTAGACCAAAGCCTGTGTAGCCCACCATCTTGTTTTCTACTCATTGCAGCTGTCCCAAGGCCTTCAGAATGCCAATAAGCAGGGCAGGAAGGAAAGAGATGGATCCGAGCACCTGGTATGATTCAAGACACATGCTTTCTTTTAACAGCTTTCTATCCATTTTCAAGCAGGGAGTTTGGAAATGGAAAAACAAAATGTATACAAACATCCTTTTTATTGGGATTATAGTATCGGTGGCACAATCTGGCATTGCTTTAGAGCAGGGGTAGGCAACCTAAGGCCCGGGGGCTGGATGCGGCCCCCCGAGGCCTTTAGACCGGCCCCAGGCCAGTCCTGCCACCGCCGCTGCCACCGCCGCCGCCCCCCACCATGATGATATTGATTATTGTTGTTATTACTTGTTCTTGGGGTTTTCTTGGCAAAATCTCCACAGGGGTTTTGCTATGGCTTTTCTGGGGCTAAGAGAGTGTGCATGCATATTTTTAAATTTTTTTAAATGTTTTATTTTTATTTATTTATTTATTTATTTATTTATTTATTTATTTATTTTTGGTGCTTCGGCTCGCCAATTGTCTGAGGGACAGCAACCCGGCCCCCAGCTCAAAAAGGTTGCTTACCCCTGCTTTAGAGGGACAATGTAATCAGAAAGTTGGTTTTAAACTAAAACACTTTCCCATTTAATACATCCTTTTCATCCAGGTCACAGGTCCTAAATGCAGTTTGTAACTTCCACAAAGCCAAGTTGCAGATGTATTTGAAAACATGCACACAAACAAGCAACTGGTCTCTTTCCTCCTTTGTAATTTAATTACCATAAGGAAAAGCCCTAGGGATGAGACTTTAGCTTGAAAGGCTGCCAGTGATGGCAAGAGATGGGACAGAATAAAGCTTGTGTTTCCGCAGCAGTGTCGTCTGTGCTTTGCTGACAAAATGAATCCTTTTTATTCTGTTGATGAACCAAGAATAACGGATTAGAGGAGCATAGCGCAACAGTGATTGTCCGGCATGCTTGCCCAGATCCCCAGGATACAGACCACTGTGCAAACTATGCAAGACTTTGTAGAGCCCTAATCAAAGGAAAAAAGTATAGTCATTGATAGAAACTTGGTTGCTGTCAGCAGCAGGTTTACTAATCAGACACTGAGGACACACAAGATTAAAATTGGTATGATTTGCTCTTTAGGTATGTTTCCCTTATACATTACCCATGCTAGGTATTTTTTCATCATTTGTTGGATATGCAATGTGCAATTTACATATTTTGTTAGAATTTACCTTCTGCCTTCAATTTTTTTTAAAAAAGTATCTTTCAGTGCAAACATTATTTTTACAATAGTGCCCTTTAGAGTTAGTAGTGATTCATTGGGATGAGACTTTACCAAATTCTGCCTGTCGGTTCTTTGCTCTGTTTCTGCTTCTCTCATTTTTATCTACTAAAAACAAAATGCAAAATAAAAAAATTGTTAGACACATAAATCTTCATGTCTATGTCCCCATGATTTTTTGATTTGTCACTTATTTGTCACAAGTGTATAAAGAGGTGCTGTTGTAGTAATTTTATTGATTTGATGAATTGCAAACATACATACACACAGACACACACATCTGCCAATCTCATTTTAAAATTGGAAAGTGTGACCTGATGCCTTCAAAAACCAGGCTAAAATACCTTATTTTCTGGCATATAAAACTACTTTTTAACCTGCAAAATCTGGGGTTAAAGTGGGGGGGTCGTCTTATACGCCGGGTATAAGGAGGTTCATGATAGGTTTGCCTTAGTGTCATCATCAGTTGGAAATGACTTGAAGGTGAACAGCAACAACAACAACAGTTTTGGAAGGCATACTCTTCCCAAACTCTATATTTTAACAGGAAAAGTGGGCGGTCGTCTTATACGCCGGAAAATACGGTACCATCCATTCATTAATCTGAGTTTCTGCTCCATGTTTCAGTCCAGAAGGAACCCCAGACTATTTTTTAAAACACCAAAACAATCTAAAACAACACATGAGTCAATCAATCAATCACTTTATTTATTTCCCATCCTTTCATGAAGAATGGGACTAAGGTGGCTTGCAAAAATAAAATAAAATAAATGCAAGTGAAACCACATATAGCTAAAAACATTCAAAAAGTTAAGATAAAGATACTCTTAAATTGTGTATAGATTTAAAAATCATATTACAGAGCACTTAAAAACAGATTGAAAAACAGTACAACACTAAAAAAGAAAACCCATTTTAGAAAATAATCTGTTTTCAAATGCCTGCTGGGACAGAAAAAAAATCATTTGATAGGGAAAGGTCAGGAAGGAGGGTGCCTGCCCAGCCTCTTGAGGAAGCGAGGAAGTTGGGGTTAGCATTTACAATACATTTTACAATATGTTGGGCCAAGGGTTGCCAGACTGAAAACTACAGAGGGCTCCAGCACCCTTATTGCTTGTATGGAAGAGAGAAGTTCAGCAGCTGTTGCTTGTCATGCAGCCAGGATCTCAAGCAACACCTGCAGAAATTTCCTCCTCTGCTGTTGCTGCTGTATGCCTTCAATTTGGTTCTGACTTATGGCGACCCTAAAGGCATCCCTGTCATGGGGTTTTCAAGGCAGGATTTGTTCAGAGGAGGTTTGCCATTGCCTTCCCCTGAGAACATGTGACTTGTCTAAGGTCATCTGGTGGGGTTTCACGGCTGGATAGGGAATAGAACCCTGGTCTCCAGAGTCACAGTCCAGCACTTAAACCACTATGTCACAGAGCCTCTTCTCTAGTCTTCACTCTGGCAAACCTCATTGGCAAAGGCATCATTGAGGGATGTGGATCACTCTGGGTGACAGCTTGGGTGAGGGTGAACACCTGGTGGGGCAATCGCTCTCATCTTTTCACAAACACCCCCTGGCTGCCCTCCGTCCACCAGCCAGGGCACTTCTGCTGCCCATTGGTTATGGCCACTGATGACTTCTGGGCAAGCAGCCGTGCCAAACCCTGCACTGCCCTCCCAGCACAGCAGAGGTGGAGTGGCTGGCACAGGAGGGTGGTTGTGGCATGGGCCAGCCAAGCTGCTTACCCACACTAGGGTAACACCAACTTTCGTGTCACCACTGCTCACTGAGGTTTCATTTTAACTCTCCCCCAGAAACATTTGTAGAGTGCTTATGTGTCCCCTTTATGGAGACCAGACCTCCATTTTAATGTATTTTCAAATTGCTGAGTCCAAGTCCAGTTTAAGGATAAAAGAAACAAAAGAAAAGAGATCAGGGAGGGGAGGATGTGAAGTTGCCAGTAACCTGGACAGCAGACTGAGAAGCTTGGTCACTTGATGGGGATATATATTGATCACTTCCAATCTGTTGGTCATTGTTTTGTTTTCTATATCTGTTGACATATGTTGGTTAGCACTAGACTTGACTCTGGGTCTTTACAGACGGCCAGAAATAATGCAGCTTGAGACCACTTCAACTGTCCTGGCTCAGTGCTAAGGAATCATGGGAATTGTAGTTTATTATGGCATCAGAGCTCAGTGCTAAGGAATCATGGGAATTGTAGTTTATTATGGCATCAGAGCTCCCTGACAGAGAAGGCTAAATGTCTCAGAAAAAAACAACACAATTCCCATGATTCCCTAGCACTGAGCTAGGACAGCTAAAGTGGCCTCAAGCTGCGTTATTTCTGGCAGTCTGTAAAGGCCCTTGGTTGCTGTCTTTAATCCCCAAGAGGATGAGATGTGCAGTGGGCCCTTGGTATCTGCTGTGGTTTGGTTCCAGGACTCCCCATGGATTCCAAAATCTGTGGACGCTCAAATCCCATTATATGCAATGGCATTGGATAATGGTGTTTTATAAAAAAATGGAAAAATCAAGGTTTGCTTTTTTGGACTTTTTTG